GGTGGGAGGAGGGGGAGGGAAATGGGTGGCTGGGAGGAGGAGGATACTTTTTTTTCCTTTTCTCAATAAAAAAAAAACAAAAACAAAAAAAAACAAAAAAAAAGAAGGGATCTAGAGGGGCTGGAGAGGTAGCTCGGTGGTTAAGAGTACTGCCTGCTCTTCCAAAGGTCCTGAGTTCAATTCCCAGCAACCACATCGTGGCTTATAGCCATCTGTTATGAGATCTGGTGCCCTCTTCTGGCCTGCAGGCATGCATACAGGCAGAACACTGTATACTTAATAAATAAATAAATCTTTAAAAAAAAAAAGAAGGGATCTAGAGGTTTTAGACATAAGAAACAATAAGGAGTCCTAAGTCCGGTATTAAACAGTTAACTCTAGGGCTAAGGATATGGTTTAGTTGATAGCATGTTTATCTAGTGTCATGAAGTCCTAAGTTTGATCCCAAGCACAACATAAAACCTGGTGTATTGATGCACGCCTGCAATACCAGCACCTCAAGAGGAGGATCAAAAATTCAAGGTCATCCTTGGCTACATAATGAGTTTGAGGCTAGCCTGAGCTACATGAGACCCCTGTCTCAAGGGAAGAAAAAGTAGTTGAACTCTAGAATGGTCTAACAAATGAATTTCATGGATAATTTTAGTTGACTCTTAGTTAAGACTTGGGTAACTATCACGAGGCTCTGCACCTTAGGATTCAGAATACTCTAGAGTGGACTGATGAATTGCCTGCTGTGTAGCCAAAATTGTGTTAGGACTAGAGTGAAGAAAGATAGTAAAAAAAAAAGTACAAGGTTCCTCACCCCAAAGATTTTTTTTTACCCTAGTTGAGAAGTAGAGGTCTTATGTAGAAGAAGATACCGTGCAGAAGAATGTTTAGAGAATGGTATGAACAAAGTCATAATAAGGTGTTCAGTTGTGCCAAGAAGTAAAATGGGACTTGAGAAGAGATGGGCTACTGCCAGTTTAGATCAGAAGCACTAGAAAGATCCATGGATTCGAGCTGGTCATGGAAGGATAGCTGTGATTGGGATGTGTAAAGGAGGGGGAAACGAAGGGCATTCCAGGTAAAGGAAGCAGCATGAGCAAAACCATGGGAGTGGGTTGAGTGTCTGAAGACAGAAAGGAGCGGAGCTTACATGTAATATGAAACTTGTTCAAGGGAAGGAGCAGGAGCTAGGTTAGAGGGGGCAAGTTGACATATGACATTACAGTGAGCTACAGCATTGAGACACAACCCCAGAAAGGACTGCTTTGCTCAGGGGAGTGATAGGAGCTTGGCGTAGCCACAGATCACTGTGGACAGAGTGTAGGGGAAGGTGGGAGAGGACGAGCGAGGGAGCCCAGCTGCAGATTGTCAGGGATGGGCAGATTTGGGTAAAACGGGCATATGGAGTAGCAGAACAACTGGGGGTGTTTCTGGGGCACAACAGCAACCATAAACCCCTTGATAGGTGTTTATAGAATGCTTATCATGTGCAGACTGTTTTTCATAAGAGAAAAATAGCTAAAAGAGAATCGAAAAATTCCTGAGCATTAAGGTTATGAGACAGTAAAATGGAGTATTGTCTTTGTGTTTTATTCCCTGACCTAGAAATCTGTCAGACTCCAGAAGGGCTCCTCTAGTTAGTGCCAAGAGGAATGAATACAATGACTTGTTAGTTTCTTTCAGGTCAGGGACCCAGGGTTTGTACCACCCCCTTTCTCTGGCCTGTGCTTTGACCTCTGGACCTCTTGTCTTTGGAGGTTTTCACACCAGACACTGCAGCAGACACCCATGATGGGTACTATGACTCCATTGAGTGCCCAGGGTGTCCAGGCAGGCGTCCGTTCAACTTCCATCCTGCCTAAGCAGCAACAGCAGCAGCAGCAGCAACAACAACAACAGCAACAGCAGCAACAGCAGCAGCAGCAGCAACAGCAGCAGCAGCAGCAGCAGCAGCAGCAACAGCAGCAGCAGCAGCAGTATCACATCCGGCAGCAGCAGCAGCAGCAGCAGCAGATCCTACGGGTAAGGCCCTGGGATTGTGGCTGAGTCTTAGGCGCCCAAGAAGGAAAGGGTATATTCTTCCCACACTGGCTCCAAGATGAAACATGATGTAATGTGCTAGGCACCCAGCAGAATGGGTATAGTTGTACTTTTTGTTTTCTTTGGTTTCTTTAGGCAGGGTCTCATACTCCTGCCTCAGCTTCCTGAATACTAGAATTTCAGGCCTACACCACCATATTGGGTTTGAACATGGTACTTAGGTGCTTCCTTTCCCCTCTTTTTCATTTCCTGAGTATCATAATGAAGGGGAAATTGGACACTGTCTGCCAAATACACTGTTTGGGTTCTTTCAGATGTGAACCCAGAATTCCCTCACTGTTCCTTGGCTCTAACTTCCTTTTCCCTTCCTGCTCCCATTTTTTCAATACAAAGTCATAGCTTCTTTGCTCTCCTTAAAATTATCTCTTGTATGCTTATAGCAACAGCAGCAACAGCAGCAGCAACAACAACAACAGCAGCAGCAACAGCAGCAACAGCCACAGCAGCCTCAGCAGCCGCAGCAGCCACAGCAGCCACACCAGCAGCAGCAGACAGCTCCTCCCCAACCCCAGCCCCAGTCCCAGCCCCAGGTAGCTGCTGAACTACAGCCACAGGCTCAGGGATGGCTACACAGGATGGGCACACAGCCATCCTATGCTAGGAACAGTGTGTGACAGGGTAGCATCGGGAGGTCAGGCACAACACTAATAGGTTTGGAGGTATGGGTGAAGAAGGAGGTGGAAGGTTGGAGTTCCATCTTCCACTTTCCATTTCCACCCAGTTCCAGCGCCAGGGGCTTCAGCAGACCCAGCAGCAGCAACAGACAGCAGCTTTGGTCCGGCAGCTTCAACAACAGCTCTCCAGTAAGCCTGCCTCCTTCCCAAGAAGAAGCTGGGGAAGAAGTGGGGATGGGGTCGGCAGAGGTGGCTGAGATGCTGGCTTCAGGCCCATATTATGGAGTTCCTTCCCCATTTCCCTTTCCCTTCTTCATGAATCTGAGCCATGATTGGTCTTCCACCCCCTGACAATCTCTCATTTTTCACAGATACCCAGCCACAACCCAGTACCAACATATTTGGACGCTACTGAGTCACCTGGAGGAACTGCTTGTACACTGGAAGTGGCCCAGCCTTTCTGCTTAATTCCCAGTCCCGTTCCTGGGCGAGCTCCAGTAGTGGTTGGAGCCCTTCCCTCAGGCTCCATTTTTAATGAATTTTTAGTATTTTTGTTAATGTGAAGCATTGAACTGTCGGGTTTTGTATATTATTTATATAGAGACCCCAGAGCTGTTGCACCCAATACATAGAGCTTCTTTGCAAAGGAGGTGTGTGGATCTGCACATACAAGAGTCTCCTGAGAGTGTCAGGGAAAGGATGAACAACTCAGCCTTCGTGCCTTCCATATTACCACCCCCCAGCTCACTCTACTCTCCTTTTCGGAATTCTAACTGCTATCCTTTCTTCCTGCTCAAGCAACCTGCAGTGAGCTCCAAACCCTCAGTCCTTTAGGGCGGCTTACCTCCTCAGCTAAACAGTGCAGCTTCTTCAGAGCTGTCTTCCACTGCGGATAAAACACTAGAAGAGGGGTTCGTTAGACTGGAGAGAAACCGGTGGAACCCTGTCATCCTTTCACAACACCCCAGATACTTGGTCCCAGACAAGCTGAGAGTAGGAGCAGAGATGCCAGACCTTTCCTTTTGTCCATGATAATGTGGTCCCCATCATACACCAAGCTAGCTAGAGAACTTCCCTAAAGGTGACATTTCTGGGCTGAGAAGTTGCTCTCCAGGGGCGTGTGATGTCAGATAGGTGACAGAAGTCCGGAGTATCTCTAGCGGGAAGAGAGGCCAGCAAAAAGCCACACCTGCTTCTCTGGCCTGCTGCTAGAACTTCATGTTTTACACAACCCACCTCGGCAGTTTCCCAGGGTAACTGTTGCTCGCTCCCAATTCAAAACTTCCTTCCAAGTCACTTTTGGGACAAGGGCTGGGCCGTTCTCACTGTCTTTGTGGTCTCTCTGCCTTGGGCCTTAGACCCGAGGCTGTGCTAGAGACCCCAATTGCTTTATGACAGTGCTTATTTCTGGTCTACCCAGCTGGGGCTGGAAAAGGACTACACCAGCCAGGTGGTTGAGGTTGGGACCCTCCAGCTGTGGTTGCACCCTATCACTGGGAAGTGTTCAGAATGCTGATAAAAGCGGGAGTGCCAGTCAGTCAACATCCAAGTTCATTTTAAAAGTCCCTCTGAGCCCACAAAGCTCTCCTACACATGGGATTTGTCCAAGTTGTGAGTAAGGAATGGGGCTCCCAGGTATGGTAAAGCCAACACATGTGAAGCATATTTTTCCTGACTTTCTATCCTGGCATAGATAGTCCTGGAGCCCTAGTGGGTAGAAGTTTGGCTGGGATAAAGGACATTCAGCAGGGATTTGGGTGCTAGGTACATTAAATACAGAAGCTAGGTAAAGACATTGGCCATTGGGGTTGGGGTAGAAGCCACAATGGTCAGGCAACTAGTATGCTGGCAGTCGGAGTCTAATCTGCCTTAGTAGAAGCAGAAGTGGATGACATTGACCTCTGGGAGGGTAACAGGATGAGGGTGAAGTAGTCCCACCGGTGCTTGCTGCCTGGGTGGTGCTGAGGCTGAGGAGAGGTGATGGCTGCCAAGTGAGGTCTCTGTGGCAAGAAACGGATTTTCTGCATACAGTACCTCAGTTTCTCCCTGTGTGTTAAGGTCTCAAGCTTTGCAGATAAAAGTTTGGACTTGCAGTCCTGGAAGATCATCTACCTGTCTGATAGCTTGGGATATGAGGTGTGGAGGGGGTAGGGAGAGTGCGAGCAGAGCTTGCTTGAACATGGAATGGGGGTATTGGGCCATGCCCCAGGACTTGAGCCATCACTGGCACAAAAGGAGTTAATGCCAGGGACCGCGCCCCCCGTGTCCGGGCACGCGCAGCGCGCCCCCTCAGTGCGCGGGCACAGCAGCCAGGCTGCCGGAGAGCTGATCTCGGGGATTCGGGTGCGGAGCCCTTGGCCTGGAGGCGATATGGGTGGTCCTTGGCCGGGTTCAGTCGTTTGCAGCCGCCTGGGGAACAGGTGAGGCCGCCTGCTCCGGTCTCTCATCCTCTAGCTGCCCACACCTTTCCCCAATCCTGTCCCCTCCCAATCCCGGGTCCCTCCACCTCCCCAGCCAGTGGCTCCCATCCTTCTCAACCCCATGTTCTCCATAGGTACCCCTGACCTCCCAACCCTCCCTCGCTTTGCTTTTCTCTTCTACCTCCTCCCTAAATCCTGCATCCCTATCATTCTCCCGCCCATGGTCCCTCTATTTCTATGGTCCAGCCTGCATGCTCACCAAAATACCCCTAACGGGAGCCCCCAGCCCCATTCTAGTATTGCACATTGCCAATACCCCCTCCCCTGCAGTGCACCCCCATTCCCCTTCCATCATAGCATCTTATAGCCAGGTTCCCTCCCCCACTCTCTGCAGCCCCCCCACCCAACGGAGGCCTTTATTCTATCCTCCCCATTCTAGGGCAATTTCATCCTCCAATACCATTCCAAACCCACATAGCCCCCAATTCTGCAGTTCTCAACACTGGTCCATTCCAACACAATGCCCCTTACCCAACACCGCTCCAGCCCCCAAAGTCCCCTTAGATGCCATTCTCATCCCAGCATTGCTGCCTCCCCTTGTCTTCTCCCAAATTGCAAGTTGGACCAGAATGGAGATCTTGCTTGGCCTTGGGAACTCACAGCGGGTCCTAGCATACAGAGGGCATTTGGGGGTCGGTTGGTTTGTCTAGGTGTTCACCAGAGGGAGGGGCTGCAGCGAACTGACTCAATAGGGGAATTTGGCATTTGGCGCCGAAGGGTTACTGGAAAAGAAGGCCTCTAGAAAGGGTTAATGGAATTTATGAGGTGGGGGCAGCATCTAGGGGGTTAACGGAGGGGGGGGTGCTGGCAGGGAAGCCGTGTGAATGAGCGGTCTGTGCCCCAGAGTTGCCATGGAGACGGTGAATGGGGGGATTGTGTGAACTCAGCTGCGGACTACCCCCCCCCATATACACACCCACCCACTCCCTCCTGCCCCACCTCCCTCTACCCCTTCCTTCCCCTTCCCCTCCTCCTCTTCTCCTCTTCACCCAGGTGCATTCTGGGCAGTGTCTGGGATCTCCCCACCCCATACTTTGCTCCCCATTTCCTCTGAGCCCCCATCCCTTTAGTCACTTTATCTGCCTGCCTGCTTTCCTGCCTCTCTCTCTCTCTCTCTCTCTCTCTCTCTCTCTCTCTCTCACACACACACACACACACACACACACACACACACACACACATTCCCCTCCCTTGGTGGCCGTTTGCCTGTTGGTCGTTCCCAATTTCCCTCCCCCACCCCTTCAGCCACTTCTTTTTTTTTTTATTCTTATGTTTTCCTTTTAATTAACATTGCAAATTCAAGACTGACAATAAGAATGGCCATTTATTTATCCTAAAGTTAGTCTCAATAATCTATAATTTAAGGAATGAAATTTTAGTTCCTTACTCTGTTTTCTAATAGCTTAATTGGTTTTTTGCATTATTTCCCAAACAAGACTCCCTCAAACCAGAATTGTTTTATGTACCATTGCATTACCATTATCACTTAAGGAACAACTTTTTATCACATCATTTTACATTTTTATTGGGGCTGTGGCTGATAGCAAAAGCCATGCAGATTTCCAGAAGGATTTTTTTTTACTATACTTCAGAAAGAAAACCCAAGAATAAACAAAGAGTGGACTTAAAATTACTCTTAATATTTCACTAAGGCAACCTATGCCTAATTATATGTAAGGCTATAAATATTTCAGTAGAAGTCTGTTAAAATTTTCAGTTCTTCCTTAATAGGCAGTGGTAAGACACAGGAAAGTGACTATTACTTTAAGGGGTTTAGTTCTAGCTTCATCCTTCCATTTAGAGAGGGAAATGCAGCTGATTGTCCTGTTCTGTGTAGGTAAGTTATATACTGAAGGGGAATGTCAAGCACTGAGATATCTTCTGAGTCATATTTTATTCTAAGGTAAATGAAATAATATAAATTTATAGAATTGTGATATTTACAAAAATAGTAACATATAGACAAAATAACTGCTACAATTCCTGGCACATAGTTGACTCAGCTTATAGTAGTTCCTGTTACGGAAAATCAGTGCTGATTATCCATTTACATTTTTTGTACAATTTGTTTCTTTTTTTTTTTTAATAATTTTTTTTATTAAGAAAAGAAGAAAAAAACATAAACAAAAAACAAGTTTCCACCTCCTCCCAGCCTCCCATTTCCCTTCCCCTCCTCCCACCCTTCTCCCCCTCCTCCCACCCTTCTCCCCCTCCTCCCACCCTTCTCCCCCTCCCCAAACTCCTCTCCCCCTCCCTCTCCAGTCCACAGAGCAGTCCGGGTTCCCTGCCCTGTGGTAAGTCCAAGGTCCTCCCCCCTCCGTCCATATCTAGGAAGGTGAACATCCAAACTGGCTAGGCTTCCACAAAGCCAGCACATTAAGTAGGATCAAAACCCCGTGCCATTGTCCTTGGCGTCTCATCAGCCCTCATTGTTCGCCATGTTCAGAGAGTCCGGTTTTATCCCATGCTTTTTCAGTCACAGTCCAGCTGGCCTTGGTGAGCTCCCAGTAGATCAGCTCCACTGTCTCAGTGGGTGGGTGCACGCCTCGTGGTCCCGACTTCTTTGCTCATGTTCTCCCTCCTTCTGCTCCTCATTGGGACCTTGGGAGCTCAGTCCAGTGCTCCAGTGTGGGTCTCTGTCTCTGTCTCCATCCATCACCAGATGAAGGTTCTATGATGATATGCAAGATATTCGTCAGTATTGCTCTCGGATAGGGTCATTTCAGGTTCCCAATCCTCAGCTACCCAAGGAACTAACTGGGAACCTCATGTTGGGCACTTGGGAGCCCCTCTAGGGTCAAATCTCTTGCTCACCCTAAAGTGGTTCCCTTAACTAAGAATTGTGGTTCCGTGCTCCCCTATCCACCTTTCCTTTATCCCAATTCTCCTGATTCCCTAAATCCCCCCTCCTTCCCTTCTACCTTTTCTCTCCCCATCTCCCCTTACCCCCATCCCACCCCACCCCCAAGATCCTAATTTTCTCCCCGGCGATTGGGTCTACTTCCCTTAGCCAAGAGGATAACTATATGTTTTTCCTTGGGTTCACCTTCTTACTTAGCTTCTTTAGGTTCACCTATTGTAGACTCCGTGGCCCTAATTTATGGCTAGAAACCAATTATGAGCGAGTACATCCCAAGTTCATCTTTTTGGGTCTGGGACACCTCACTCAGGATAGTGTTTTCTATTTCCATCCATTTGCCTGCAAAATTCGAGAAGTCATTGTTTTTTACCGCAGCGTAGTACTCTAGCGTGTATATATTCCATACTTTCTTCATCCATTCTTCCATTGAAGGGCATCTAGGTTGTTTCCAGGTTCTGGCTATTACAAATAATACTGCTATGAACATAGTTGAACAAATGCTTTTGTCATATGATAGAGCATCTCTTCAGCCACTTCTTAAAGGAACATGCCTGCAATCTCGGAAGGCGGGAGAAAAGGGGGGAAAAACTAAATGTGCTTCTGTGTGTGCGTGTGTACAAGTGCGTGCTTGCGTGCTCATTGTGTGCATGTGTGTCCATGTGGGACACACATGTCCGTGTGCCTGTGTATATGTGTTGACTGTAACTGTGTCAGAAGACCTGTGTGTCTGAGTGTGTTGCTATTTCTGTTTCTGTCTCCACCTATGTGTCACCGTTATGCCGCTTGTGTCTGGATATTTACCTATGCGGGTATGTGTGATTTTGTTTCAGTAGGTCTCTGTGTGTGTGTGTGAATGTATCACTGTGAGGCTCTGGCTGTGTGAGGCAGTCTGTTTTGGAATGTGGGACTGAATGAGGGGATCTCTGTGGGTTTGGAATGTATGTCTCTACCAGTGAATATTGCAGTGTCTGTGATCCTGGCTTGGTCCCTCACTCCCTCTTTGAGTCTTTGTGAGTTTATTTCATGAGTTCCAAGTGTATGTCCCTACACCCTGTTGTTTATTTTACACTAGACTAGCATCCACAATGCCTAGCGTGCTCAGCAGACAGATTTTTACCTTTGGTTCTAGCATTGGCTGTGAATGAAGAGCTAGACAGCAGCAATGACAAAGGTTTAAGGACTTGGCAGCTGCGGAGGCTGGGGAGAACAGTCAAGGAGGGGCGGGGAAGGGTCTTTGGACTTAGGGGAATAGCTGTGGTGCTCCCTGCCCTGCCTGAGGGGAAAGGGCATATCTTGGTGGGACCCTCTGCCTGGCTGCAGCTTTTATTTTCTTGTCCTGGAATGAAGTTGGCAGCCATACTGGAAGCCGTACTTCCAGCTCTTCCTATCACTGCATGCTCTGACTCCAGAAGACCATGGTGAACTCCACTAATGATGGAGCCAGAGTCGGGAACTGAATTTGCAATGGCCACAACTGTCACTCTGTTCATCTCCTTAGATTTTTTTTCCCAACCATGGCCAGGCACATAAAATAGCTTTGAAAAGCAATGGGTCGCCTGTGAGTGCCCGGAACCCTGGGCATGTGAGACCTCTAATTGTGGAAAAATAGGCTATGCCCACCAGGGTCCCAAAGACTGATTGTCCAGCCCTCACAGACCATCTTGGATGACACATGCTTCCCTCTTTCCACAGGCCTGTCTGGCCCTAAGGGAGCCCTCTTTCGAAGTGGTGGTGCTTGGACGACCCGCTCTCTGCTCTCTGCGTTGCTGGGCACCTGTAGGTGTCCCTCGAGAGCTCAGTTTTGAGGTTCAAGTCAGTGTGGCCATGAAGGGGCTGCCTATTGGGCTGATGCTGTGACCCCGGAGTCTGCCTCTCCTGCCAGTACCCCTGCCCGGAACATGTGGCTGCAGCTTGGCCTGCCCTCGCTGTCCCTGAGCCCCACGCCCACAGTTGGCCGGAGTCTGTGTCTCACGCTGTGGTTCCTCAGTTTGGTGCTGAGGGCCAGTACACAGGCCCCAGCACCCACAGTCAATACTCACTTTGGGAAGCTAAGGGGTGCCAGAGTACCATTGCCCAGTGAGATCCTGGGTCCTGTGGACCAGTACCTGGGGGTACCCTACGCAGCTCCCCCGATCGGCGAGAAACGCTTCCTGCCCCCTGAACCACCCCCATCCTGGTCAGGCATCCGGAACGCCACACACTTTCCCCCAGTGTGCCCCCAGAACATCCACACAGCTGTGCCCGAAGTTATGCTGCCAGTCTGGTTCACTGCCAACTTGGATATCGTCGCTACTTACATCCAGGAGCCCAATGAAGACTGCCTCTACTTGAATGTCTATGTGCCCACGGAAGATGGTGAGTGCTGCGGCCAGGCATTGTGCCCTCCTTGCCTCCCGCCTGCCCTGTTGTGTTTGTGGCTTGCATGTGGTTGTGTGCCCTGCAGCATGAGTCTGTCTGTCTGTGAAGATGCTTCTAACCATCACTCCGCTTGGCCTTTCCCCTCCCTATTCTTCCTCTCCCAGCATTGTCCGAGCTCCCATGTATGAGTGACACTGGTGCCAGAAGGGGGCTGGCCAGGCCTGAGAGCTTTGACAGGTCTAGGTCCGGTGCTGGATGGGGGTACCCTGGGGGAGTATGGGTGACTGCTGGCAGCTGCCCGCGGGAGGATGCTGGCTCCACCAGGACCCCCTGTTGCCATTTCCACCTGCTTCAAAAGGTGGTAGGTGTGTGTGGCTGAGGGAGCTGTGTGTGTGTGTGGGACAGGGGGGCAAGCCTGGTTGGAGATGCTTAGGTGCCTCCTCTTCCACTAGCTGATGCCTCCTCCCGCGGGGGTCACATTAAGGTAAGTGACAGAAACAAGGAGATGGTGGGACAGGCTCTCTGCCATGCGCCGCCGCTGCAGAGCAGCTCAGCTCCTGGGGCCTGGGTGGGGGGGATGCATGCCCCTGGGCAGAGGCCTCCTGTTATTTTTTAGTTTTTTATTCATTTTACAGTAAAGTGGATTTCCAAGGAATGCGCCCGAAAGCCCAACAAGAAAATTTGTAGGAAAGGAGGTAGGTAGCGAGCCGGCGGGGAGGGAGAGAGAGAGAGAGGGAGGGCTGCTTGCCCACCTGCCCCTGCCCCTGAGGACCCAGCCTTCCTTCAAGTAGCCCAGGTTGAGAGGGTTGTAAGCAGACTTAAGGTCCCAGGCTTAAGTTTCCACCTCCTCCAAGGGCCCTGGCTGTTTTGCCTAAGGCAGGTTCAGAACAGAAGCAGAAAGTCCATCGCTTCTAATCTTCCCAGCTTCCAGCTTCCCTAAGGAGTGTGCCGAAGACAGACCCAGTGCTTCTTTTGGTAACACCTCAGAAGAAAGCCGGCAGTCAAGATGGAGCCAGAAGCTCCACCTTCCCCTGCAGCCAGTGCAGATATGAGGACCATCTCTCCAGTACTCAGTCCTGGGTTGAAGGTCTATACTTGAACCTCCCCCACTGAAACCTAGGAGAAACTCGGGTACATAGATTTAGCTGCTCTTGTGTAGCGCCCACCCTGCCCCTGCCTCACCACCTCTGACCAGAGCTGAAGGAGTCAGGCTACTCCCGTGGCAGAAACTGGAAACCTCGGCACACTGGAGACTCTAAAGAAAGCCAGTTTGAGATTCACCCTCCTGATGAAGGGATTTGTTTCCCCATATTGCAGTGTTTCGTTTGCACACCACTTTATGTTTTCTGCCAGGGTTTTTATATTTACCTCTTAGATCCCTCTCCACATTAGGGAAGCAAGCAAGGCAGAAAGCAGTATTCCGATTTTACAGATGAGGAACCGAGCCCAGGGGAGTGACTTGCTGCACAAGGCCCTGTTGCCAGTCTAGAGCAGATCTGAGGCCAAAACCTAGGGCTCTTAGCCCTCAGGGAATGTTCTTTCCACTGTAGCCCATGAAGGTAACTTCCACCTGGCCAATGCCACCTCCCTAAAGCATAGATCAGAAGTGACTGGGTTGGGTCAGTCGACTCTGGTAACAGCCTAAGGAACAACGACAACCACAACTCAACCCTTATGAGCCTGGCCTTTGTTTTCCCCTGATGCTCTAGGGCAGGGTTTCTCCCGTGTCATCATGATTCTTGGGATGGAACAATCCCTACTGAATGAGAATCTCTAAGGACAACCGTAGAATCAGCACATTCTATAGCTCCTGATGTGGAGGGCTTTTGATGCCCACTGGAGAAGGGAGTCCGACTAGCTGCCCTTAAGAACAGTGTTTTACCTCTCTTGACATCCAGCCCAGGCCCCTCCTGCGCAGTAGGAAGTGAGCAAAGGCTCTCATGCAAATGAAGGATTTCTCTAGTACCGTCTGCCCCCAGCAGCAAGAACGCTGGCCTAGGAAGCACAACCCCTGTGACCTAGCCTCCGCTGCCAACTCATATGTCACTCTTTTGATTCTCTCTCGTTTTTCTTTGCTTTGCTGTGTTTTGTTTTGCTTTTGGAGGCAGGGTCTTGCCATGCAGCTTGGGCTGGCCATGAGCTCTTTATATAGCCCAGGCTCAGAGGTCAGTCTTCCTTTTTTTTTTTTTAAGAGCCTCCATTTCCACATGGAAAGGCAGAAAGATCATCGTGGCTGTAACCTTCCATTAACCTGCACGTGTATTTAGGGAAAGGGTTTTGAAGCTGCTCTCCTGAGGTACTACTTAGTGGGGTGCAGTGGGGGTGAGGAAGAGATGGTATTACTATTAGCCACTGCTTAGGAAGGTCTTTCAGGACTCCAGGAAGAGCCTATGGCAGGCCAAGCTCATACTGAGATTTTGGCCAGATTGCTGACTGGAAGCCACCACGCAGTGTGAATATTTTGCCAATTTTAACTGTGGACGATGGGCAAGGTGCTGTTGGGATGTGAACAGAGTCTAATCATTGTTTGGAAGAAGCTCCTAGGCTGGTATTACAGCTCTGCTGGATTTCTTAAGTCCATAGGCACTGGGAAGGGGGCTTTAGATAGGATAGGGCAGGTCATTTGTTTAGCTGTTCAAATTAGTTCCCTATCCTGGGCCTGTTAGCCATCTGAAAAAGCTACAAATCTTGCCTCTTTGAGCACACAGGGTGTGTGTGTGTGTGTGTGTGTGTGTGTGTGTGTGTGTGTGTGTGTGTGTGAAATGGACAGGACAGCTGGGGTGGCCTCTGTAGGATCCTACATGGTGCCATGTCTGGGGGTGGTACCTGGTAAAGCCATGGCAGCAAGGAATTGTTCATCAAGGACATGCTGAAGGAGCAAAGACATCTGTACAGGGGAGACTGGGGCAAGGCTGGGGTGATGTAACAAGCCAAGAACCCCCAGAGCTTCGCAGAAGGAGTTCCCGAAATGAAGGGTATCCTGAGAAGGACCTGCCCTAGCCCTGCCTCCATGGAGTTGAAAGGAATTTATGTTTAGGAAGGAGTGATTCTGCTGGGTGGCTGATTCACTGTGCGGCCATGTCTCATTGAGATTCTGAGGGCAAGACCAGCAGGTGCTGAGCTAACGTGTTAAGACAGTAGGTGCCACCGGAAGTTCAGGAAGCCAGAGGTTATTTCTACTAGAGCTGGGTTTTTGCCCGAGTTGGAAAAGCATCTTGTAGCATAAGGGTTGTTACTGTTTTGATCGATAACTCTAAGGATATTCAGTCACCAGAGTGCAGACCAACAGAGAAAGAGGGCCCTCTGCTTGCTCCAGGTTCAAGGTATCTGTGATCATGGAAGCAAGAGGGTAAGGTGTGGTACCAGCAGAATTACTTCCATTTTGACACTGACCAGCAACCAGGCAGTAGTAGATCATGTCTTTTTACAGCCATTCTAAGATGTTCTTCTAGTCTCCTCAGAACTAGAAATGGTGCCAGCCAACCCTCCCAGGTCCTAAATCCCTTCCTTCCTCCTCTAGTCTCTTTCCTCTCCTCTCCTGTCATGCTCCACCTCTTCTCTCATCTATTTCCTCGTTCCCTTTCCCTCACCCCTGAGAGGTGGCATGATGCAGTGGAAAGACCATAAGGGCTTCGGAGTCAAGCAGACCTGGGTTTGATCCACACTCTAGCACTTCCTAGCTGTGTTATCTTGAGCAAGTCACTTTACCTCTCTGAACCTCAGTTTCCCCATCAGTGAAAGAGGAATAAAAATGATGCCAACCTCACTGGGATGTGAGGATCAAGCAGTAGAAGTAGAATATGTCTGGCGTGTGGTAGATGTTCAGTACTCAGCATATGGTAGGATCCATTTCTCTCTCTCTTTCTCTCTCTCTCCTCTCTCCCTCCCTCCTCCATTCCCTTCTCCTCCCCTCCTCTCCTCCCCCTCTGGCTCTCTCCTAGAGCAATACTTGCTGCTCTTAAAAGTGGTTCCTATTTACCATTATCAAGAGCAGGGGGGCCCAGTGAACAAGGCCAGAGGAAAAATTTCATCTCCCATCTTCTCCTGCGGGAATCAGGGTCAGCTGAGGCCGGGCTCGAATCTGCCCACTGGGACCTGGGAGCTCAGACCTGGGGTCCCGGGTAATCACTTCTGCCCTAAGTATATCACATAGATATCCGCAGATGCTGGCAATGCCACTCCTCACCTTCAGGACCTTTCCCTGCCCTCCAGCTCAGCCTGCCTGTGCCTACACATGCAGCCCTTCCATCCATCCGAAATGAAGTTTCCACAAGTGGGCCTCCGGCTCTGTGCCCCAGCCCACCTGCTGCTACCTCCTTCCTAACTAAATGAACTTGGTTGGGGACAGGGAGGCGGGGCAGGCAGGTGTAGGGAGGTCAGCACAGCAGAGGCCTGCAACACCATCATCCTGATGAAGGTCTGGGCCTCAGCCCACCCATTCCCTCAGTTCTTGCCATCCCTCCTGCCTGTCCTGGGCCCAGGCTCAGAGCTGGCTTGCTGGGCCACACTGCAGTCATGCTGTTTTTGAATTCTCTCTCTGTTTTGTTCTCTGTTCTGTGCTGTTGTGTCTCCCCGTGTCTGGTCCCCAGGATCCGGCGCTAAGAAACAGGGCGAGGACTTAGCGGATAATGACGGGGATGAAGATGAAGGTATTTGGGGGCTGCAGGGCGCGGCGGCTGGTGCATGGCACAGAGCCCCTCCCCTTCTCAATGGGGAGAAGCCCCGTCTGTCTGTCTGTCCGTCCGTTGGTGTGTTTCTGTTCCTGTACAAAGCCGCTGGGCTGTTCCTTCGTCTTTGGCCTTATTGGCCACTGGGACTTTTGGGGTAATGAATACGGCTGGCAGGAGCAGGAGACTGACCATAAGTAGAGCCATAGGGAGGGTGTCTTCCTGGCCCTGGCTTCTGCCCCTCTCCCATCTTCTATGATTCATGGGCACCTGCCCATATGTGGTAGCAGAAATGGTGAAGGGCAAGCAGGGCCAGGGAGGGTGGGAGGAGGGACAAGTAAAACTGGGAGGTGACAGGGTGTCTGGGATTCACTAAGGAGGCCTCTGGGTCTCATGAGGAGCCTAGCTCCCGGGAGAGCGGCCCTGCTAGGATACACCAAGGGGCAAGGGAGGGACATTCAAGGCTAGCACTTTCCCAGCTTTCTTCCCCAGAAGAAAGATGGCCACAGGGCCAGAGGTTGCAGTAGGTTGGGGACAGGACCAGAAAAACTGTGGCCTAATGAGCCAGGCTGTGGCCCAGATACCACAGCCATCAGCAGATGAACTAAGGTTCTCGAGTAGTGATGGGACCAGCCTTCCTCCATGAGGTAACAAGATTGTTTGTGCTGCAGCCGAGAGCAGTCCCTTCTCCACCCATGCTCTGGGCCTGCCCCTTTGGAGGCCCTGGAGGGGCCAGGCAGTTCAGGGGATTCACTGGTGACTGGCAGGGCTGTGCCGGTGTGGCAGAGAGTGGGCCAGCTCACAGACTGACAGGTGACAGACAAGCCGAGGTCGGGTCTGGAGCCTTCTCTTGACTGCTCCAGCCCAACACGGTGCTGACTGGGCTCAGGAAGACCCCTTGCTGAGCCCTCAGGCACTGGCCTGAGTAGAGACTTCTACATCTTAACTCATACCACGTTCTGCTCCACCCCAGTGTTTCCAGCTAAGTTTGCCCAGGAAGAATGGGGGATACGGGCATGTGGTTAAGAAACCATGTCTATAAGGTTCCCCCACCCCATCTCTACCATCCACTCCCCCCCTTTCCCCACCTTCCTGTTCTCTCCCTGTGCCACCCCTTCTCCCCACCCTTTTCGTCTTTGTCTGCACTGGGGGGGATCCAGCTGCTGCCAATGGCCGTTTTTCCATGTAACTGGTCTAGTCCTGGGGGTTTCAGGGCTCCCCAGCTCCTGCTTTCTAAAGCCATGTCAGGTCCCAGGACTCCTGGGTTCTCAGGGCAGGATCTCACCTGGTGCTGCTAAGGGATTACCAAGCCCTTGTTATTCCTTACTATCCCAGAAGCCAGCTGTGGTCACCCAGGCCAGAGGAATTATGCCCACAGGGCCATTTTCAGTTGGGGGGGGGTGCTTGAAACTCAAATCTTTCAAAATATTATACAGGTTCAGCTCTCTGGCCAGTACTTGAACTCTGGGCCTAGCAGCCCCGTAAGTCCTGCCCTCAGAGATGGCAGTGGTGTCCTGGCACCTGGAATAGCTTTGCTGCCCGCACCCACCCCCCAGGGCTGGCAGGGGTAGGGGAGCAAGGGCATCCTACCTAGCCTGTGTCTCACCCCTTCTCCTTACAGACATCCGCGACAGTGGTGCTAAGCCTGTCATGGTCTACATCCACGGAGGTTCTTACATGGAAGGGACAGGCAACATGATTGATGGCAGCGTTCTCGCAAGTTATGGCAACGTCATCGTCATCACCCTCAACTATCGGGTCGGGGTGCTAGGTATGGTTCTCTGCCAGGTGCCTAGAAGGAAGGCTGGCTTTGAAGGGAGGGGAAAAGAATTTGGGGGAAGTTGGTTCTCTAACTGCTGTTAATGACCAGTGACCAGGGGCTTTCTTGCATCCCCAGGCCCCATTTCAGAATATTTAGATGCCAATGGAAATTCAATTCAAATTTTATACTTTTTTTTAAAAGGTGGGGTTAGACAGGGTATAGCTTAGGCTGGTCTTGAACTCCTGGTCTTCCTGGTTCCACCTCCCTAGTGCTGAGATTTTGGGCATGGGCCACCAGGTATGGTTTAAACTTTGCACCAACTTTCAAGTCAGGCCTCTATTACCAGACCTCTGCTTGGCTGGGTTTTGTAGGCCCTGTTAGTTTTCTGGAGTCTTATCTTCATGGCTACCCACCCAGCCCCACAGTCCTAAGTACATATGCACATACAGATATGCCTTCTAATCCACCCTGTAACCACACACCCTTATACACTCACACATCACGTCCATCCACCCACTCCCACGCATACAAATACTTTTCGCTCCCTGAAGCACATGCGCACACAGCTCCAGCTTCCTCCTACACAACCCGCACAGAGCGAGACACATCCAGTCTCGCTCACACATATCCATAGACCCACACACTATATGCTCCACATGCACACCCCACACAGACTTCTCCCACCTTCCCTATATATACACACACGCTCTTAAACATGCTGCGCGCTGCATCTTTTAGCCACAGCCACGCCATAAATACCATACACTCCCAGAGTCGCAAGTTTTGCTGCCCTTCTATTGCACCTTACATAAACACCTAGACTCTGTACATCCACACCCAGATTCCACATAGTTATGTATACATAGCTATGCCTTCCACTAGCCCTACATACACACCACATACAACACATGCACAGCACACATCTGTATCCTCCCACATGGCTCACTTGTGCATTCACTTCACACATGATGGTACTTCACATATGCATACACCTCTCTTTCTCCTACTCTACACAGCACAAACCAACATTCTTTCTCTTTGCATGCATTTAGCTTCCTACGTGTCCACAGCACCCACCCCACAAATTTACAGCTACACGTGCACGCGCGCACACACACACACACACCCTCTGCTTCCACACCAGTTACCATTCCCATTCACTGGACATATAACCCCTCACACATGCACACCAAATAGACCCCTCCCTCCACATACCTAGTTGGATGCACATGTCCACAGTCTTCCCACATATTCTCTGCCAAGATATACCCAATACATACACATGTGCTCACCCCTTACCACTCAAATACTCATACATCCTTGTACCTAGAGCTGCATCTGCGCACACACACTTCTATCTACCCTAGCCACATTCAGACTCCCTCGTGTACATACGTGTGCACACATTCATCTCTTCACTCTTACCCATTATGTGTGCCTATCCATACCCACACACATGTATTTGCCAAAGCCTCTCCCCATGTACCACCGTGGATCCTACCTACCACATACTCTGGCTGTTTGGGTGCTTTAGGCTATTTATCTATCTTGCTTATGCCTCCTTTGATGACTGCCAGGATCCATCGGTAGCCAAGGTCTTGAGGTAAACAAACACCCAGAGGAGGTTACAGAGCATATAGGCCCTTGCTCCCTTTTAGATGATCATCCAAGCTTCCATATTCTGGTGGTGGCATGAGGAAGCCATCTTCTTCCCTGGGGGATTGTGTCCTCAGGGTTTCTGTGGGGGTCTGTGGGCCCAGATGTTGAATCAGCAGTTCGTGTGCTTGCTGGGCAGGAGCTTGTTTGAATTTGCCTATATTGCTTTGCCAGTTCCAGGCCCAGCGGCCCCCATGGCCCTGCATTTTGCTTCTGGGCGGGGTTATATGCACAGAATGGCAGTCTCCTCTTGACTTACCCACAAGTCTGTGTGGGATATACACATATTTGGTGTCAATCTGGAGAAATGAGGCCAGGTGTGGTGGTGCATGCCTTTAATTCCAGCACTTAGAAGGCACAGGTAGGTAGGTCTGTGTGAGTTCAAAGTCAACCTGGTCTACATATCGAGTTCTAGAATACCCAGGCCTACATAGTGAAACTCTATCTCAAAAACAAAACAAAACAAGAAACAAAGGAAAAAAATACCAAACCTCTGGGGAAATGATACGCCTGAAAAATGCTTTAGACTGTGTCTTCTTCAGTGGCTCCCTGGGATCTTGGGTATGGAACACGTAGGGCACCTCTTTGGTCTCTTCATGATCTGATGGGCTTTAGATTTCAAGCTTCTTCCATGTCCCCCTGTCTTCCTGTACTGCCTCAGACACCATGGCAAGGCTCCTGTGTCCCGTTGAGAAAGGGGATCTAAGTGTCATTGTACCACAGAGGTGACTGTAAATTCACACACCAGGGCCACACAGTTCTGAAAGAGCAACAAAGGCACAAATGTAACCGCAGACAGACAACATACATCCACACACAGTAACCCCAGACAGACAACATACATCCACACACAGTAACCCCAGACAGACAACATACGTCCACACACAGTAACCACAGACAGACAACATACGTCCACACACAGTAACCCCAGACAGACAACATACATCCACACACAGTAACCACAGACAGACAACATACATCCACACACAGTAACCCCAGACAGACAACATACATCCACACACAGTAACCCCAGACAGACAACATACATCCACACACAGTAACCACAGACAGACAACATACATCCACACACAGTAACCACAGACAGACAACATACATCCACACACAGTAACCCCAGACAGACAACATACATCCACACACAGTAACCACAGACAGACAACATACATCCACACATAGTAACTAGTGGCCCAAAGCAATTCGCTGATTTCTTTCCTCTAACTAAAAGAAAATACTCGATTCAGTGGCTTTCAGGAATTCTAAATACGAGAGTGCGTTTTACAAGGTGTCCTGGGATGTGCAGAGAATACTAAGCATATGAGCTGATGCTATGTTAGCAGAGCGGCAAGGAATGGAAGAAAAGAAAGGACTGAAGGAGAAAGAAAGTGAGGTGAAAGTAAGGAAAAGAATAAAATGACAGATGAGAGAAAAGAAGTTGGGAGTGCCACTGGGATGTGAGGCAGAGAGGAAACACCAGATTTCGGTAGGATTCAAGGTCTCCATGGAATCAGCCAGGAGCTGTGAGCTGTATGAACGGTGGCTGGTCGGGAGCCCTCTGTGTGCTGTCCTGGTTGGAATGTCCCTCTCGTCTCCTCAGCCACTCTACTTTTCAGCTTCTCTATGAGAACTCCTTACACTCTCCTGAGATTATGGATCTTCATCAAAACAACACAGACACACACATGTAATTTTTGTTTTTAAAGACTGAGTCTTGCCAGGCAGTGGTGGCACACACCTTTAAGAGGCAGGCAGATCTCTGTGAGTTGGAGGTCAGCCTGGTCTACAGAGCAAGTTCCAGGACAGCCAGGGCTGGTACACAGAGAAACCCTGTCTCAAAAAAGCAAAAGCAAAACACCCAACTAACCAACCAACCTAACCAAACAAACAAACAAAAGACTAAGTCTCACCGTGTAGCGCAGGCAACCTTAACCTTGAGACCCTCCTGCCATGCATCTAATTACTGGGAATAGAGGCACACATCACCACACTCAGCACACTAGTAGTTAAAAAGAGGACTTGGCAGTGCCCCCTGAAGCTCAGCCATGGCACTCAGGCTAAGAACACTGACTTTAGCACCTCCTCTCATCTGAGTAATCAGAGAAGTACATCCTTGAGCTAAGCAATTAGTGTTACAAAGAACACTACTCCACACTTCGACAGAGTTCTGGGCTGAGATCCGGTCAGGAGTTCCCAACCACTCCCTACATCCTCTTCAGTGCCTGTTCTGGAACACAAATATAATCAATAAGTCACTGATTGCCTTCTGGGTACATACAAGATGTTTTTGTCTCTTGGCACTCGCTGTAGAACATGAGTTTGTTCCTGATGCTTGGGGAGCTTGCTGTGTAGCTGAGGCCCTGTTGTTTTGTTTTCCAAAGTATATTTTAAAAAAAGCAGGTGGCCAGTTTTGGACTCCAGTTACATGCATTCACTTGCCTGCCCTCCTACCAGCATCTCCTGAGCACTGAGTACAGCCAGTCCAAGGAAGAAGCTTCCCTAAGAATCTTGAGAATGTCAGCAAGTTAATTCCGGGAGATCTCCCCCAACCCCTGACCTGCCAAGCCAGAGGGGTAGCTGTTATTTGAGACACTCCCACTGGACTTGGGGCCAACAAAACAAAAGGAATCCTCCAGGATATAGGATGTGGGTATATCTAGAAATAGTGGATATACTGAGAACATACGGACTTGCCAAGTTTTATTCGGGGTTCCAAAATTAACTTAATTCCACATCATTGCTCAGGTATCTTCCAGGCAAACTGACTGCATGGTGAGTGACAGTCCTGGAGTGACACAAATACCTAGTTTTGATACAATCTGCCAGATTCCTCCATCTTCTGTTGACAAGCAGCTTATGTATACTGCAGTATAAACTTGGGTTCAAGGAGGCTGACTCAGATTTATTTTGACAACTTGTGGAGTCGGGTATTGGAGTCTTTATTCTCACACAGTTTCTGTGAATGGCCACAATTCTAGGAAACAATCGATGAGTGGCTTCTTTCTTAGACTGCAAGGCTTTGTGCATTCCTGGTCAGTCATTCTTAACCCATCACCTTCTGAGCCTGCTGGCTAGGGTACCAGAAGAAGAACTCTGTGCAGTGAGGATCAATGGCTGGCCCCAGGCACATACGTCACTATTCCTTCTCTGGAAGCTCATGAGGTGTGAGGGAACAGAGGTATGGCCAAACCCTCTACTTGGGCTTTTCAGGCAGATCTCTGACTGTGTGAATCTGTCTCCCTCCCTCCCTCTTCCTCCCTCCCTCCCTCCCTCCCTCCCTCCCTCTCCCTCCCTCCCTATCCTTCCCTCCCAACTCCCTGCTTTCTCCCTAGAATCTTGCCCTGTAGTCCAGGAGGCCTTAAACTCACTCCATGAGGCCTTGAACTCAAACTTCTGCCTCTGCCTTCTGAGTGCCATGGAAGTGTGCCCCAACCATGCACAGCGAGGACAGACAACTTTAACATATCTCACTGAACATGCCTTGACAAAGACTGGAGCCAAATCGGCTATTGTCTAAGTGAAAGAAAGGGGAAAATGATACAGGGGAGTGAGAGGAGAGAAGGCAGACACATGATAAATTTTGCTAGCACACCTCAAGACTTAGGTAGCTGAGATGGGTGTTGGCTGGCATAGGGTTTTTTGTTGTTTGTTTGCTTAGTTGGTTGTTGGGGTGTTTTTTTTGCCACCACCCCCAGCCCAGTATAGGTTTTAAGATTCACGGGAGTCACTTGCGTTTTTGAATGGGACTTCCCACAACAGAGATGCTGCCCACCCCGCCCCCTCTGAAGGAACTAGAGTCCTTCCACTTACTGTTGCTCAAGCTTACTCTAATCTCCTCTCCTTTTCTTATCTGGAACCTGGGGTTATGAAAGACATGTGCCAAGGTTCTGGGGGGGAATTAATAACTACTTACATACTTAATTTTACCAAAGGAAATTAATAACACCCTCAAAGATGGTAAAATGAATTTTTTTGCAGAAGCTAGGCATAGAAAGACCTGGGAAAGACAGAGATGTGGTTTCTGCCTGCTTGGCTCTGCTCTATTTGAATTAAGCTTTTGCCTGCAGACTGCCAGAAATGCCAGCCAGCTCTCTGCGAGCTGTGGGCTCTTCTAACATGGCCCTGAACCAAGCTGATTCCAGGTGCTGCGAACAGGCTTTTAACTGCAGAGTCAAAGAATACTGATCCAAGTTTGGATTTCCAGTGTGTAGGAGCACAGCAATTACACCCACCTGGAAAGGACCCTTCCAGAAGCCTAAGGCAGGAGAAAATAGACGGAGCCTTCCAAGGAACCCAGGGATCAAGGAGGAGATAGAGGAATGAAGCAACAGGATCAGCCTAAAATGGGAGGGGGTGATATAGGGCATCTCTGTGGGATAGCCAGCAGGTGGGCGGGAAGGTAGTCTCCATGGTAACAAGTCTCCACAGCAGCAAATCCCAGCAGGTGGGTGGGAAGGTAGTCTCCATGGTGACATGTAGTCTCCTCAGCAGCAAATCCCAGTGGGTGGGCGGGAAGACCTGTTTCTGTGGTAACGCAGTGCACTGACTTCCTCGTCTCTCCACCAGATGAAAAAGATGATCTGACCCAGTGGCTTCTCAACTTTAGCAGGCGTCAGCAGCACCTGGAGAGCTTGTTAACACAGACCGCTGGGCTGCATCCCCTAGAGTTTTTGATTGCTTAGGTGTTGGAGGAAGGGAAATGAGGACCTGCCCTGAGAGTGATGGGAAGGGGGCCTTACCAAATCCCTGGGAAGAATTGGAGCTGGACAGATTTGCACGGGGTGGGCAAGGCGAGCTTAGGGAGTGCTGCCTGTGTGCTCCTCACTTCAGAGAGAGAAAGAAGGGGAAAATGTAACTGTAGCTCTACCATGTGCTTGCCTTCTGCTCATTTTATCCTCGTTACAACCCTTTGAGGTATTTTTATCCCCATTTTACAGAAGAGGAAACTACAGCCCAGAGATTTTAAATAACTTGCTGAAGGCCACATGTCTTAAGATGCTGAATTTAACCAAGGGCTGTTTGGCTCCAGGGTCCTTGCTTTCTGCACCGTATCTTGCCTGATGTCAGGATCACACCCCCAGATACTACATCAGGGCAGAGAATGCTGAGTTCAGGCCACTTGCAGGCCCTTCAGTTGTTTCCTAGAGGAAACAACAACTTCAAATGCTCTGGCCCCTCTGTCCAAACCGGATCATGGGAGGGAAGCAGGGGCTTTACCCTGCCTGTATTGGTGATGCTGGACCTTGCAAAAAGAAGCAGCGGTTTGTGTTAGCATTAGTGAGGTGGGAAGTGTTACATGGCTGCATGCATCTCCTCCATGTGACACTTTCCCAAATCCATTCCGTGCCATCATAACCCAAGTCCTGCGTCCCTTCACCCTCATTCTCCTCTGCCTTCTGTTGAATCTAGGTTTCCTAAGCACCGGGGATCAGGCTGCCAAGGGCAACTATGGACTCCTTGACCAAATCCAGGCCCTCCGCTGGGTGAGTGAGAATATTGCCTTCTTTGGAGGAGATCCCCGTCGAATCACGGTCTTTGGCTCGGGCATTGGTGCATCCTGTGTCAGCCTCCTCACACTGTCTCATCATTCTGAGGGTGAGTAGCTCTTGAGGACCAATGTAGAAGAGTTTGATGCTGGTACACCTTAAGTTTCAGGTATCCCAGGCCCCAGAATGCCTGGCTTCAGATCCCAGATGTGCCCAGGAGAATCAACCAGGCCTTTGCCATCAGTTCCGTGTCCCTTGAGGGGGAGGGGGTGGGAAGGCAATTGTTCGTGCAGGGAGAGCTACTTCTCCTCATGCGGAAGAATAATCTCCATTTGCACCCTGAGAACGATGTGCGGCTCACATGGGAGGCTTATTTGGGAGAGCGGGAACAGAACGCTTCTCTGAAGGGACAATAGTTCCTTACAGGCGAGGAAATCTTTCCGTATGAAGGGCATGTTACTTCAGAGTCAAAATCTAAGGTGAAAATTGGTTTCTAGGTGTAAGAAACACTCATTGTCTACCTTTCTTGGGGAAAAAGTCTGAACAAGAGGAGAAATGGTCTAGCATGAGAGATGGGTCTGAAGTGAGACTCTGGCCTAGGACATCGGCTGCTCTGAGGGAGGCAGACCATTGTTAGACCAGAGACTCCCTCCAGGGCTCTACCCCTCACTTAAAGAACACTCATATTTACCCTGTTTCTGATGTGGGTCCCTCTGCCAGTGACTTTCTGAAGGACTTGCATAAGCCCTATTTTGCTAGGCAGGGGAATGTTCTCTTTCCATCTAGACTATAGAGAACAATATATCTCTGAGAGGCAAAGCTGAGCTTCTTATGGAGAAAAATTGTCCTTGAAACAAGTGCCCTTCTCTAAAGTGAGGAAAAACGTGAGCGAGAACACATTTTTATAGTTGAGATTGACCCCGTGAGGGAGCACTCTTTCAAGAAGCCTGACCATCTTTTGAAGAAGGTTTGTCTCTGAATGCGAGGAAGCATTGTTACTACACCAGAAGCTATGTCCCTGTGTCCCTCTAGAAATGACACTGATGGAAAACTAAAGTGTCGCTTGCATTTGCAAAGAGAGGGAATGGGAAGTCGGGCGTGGTGGGGCATACCTGCAATCTCAGTGCCTAGGAGACTGAGGCAGGAGGACTGCCACAAGTTTGAGGCCAGCCAGGGTTACCTGCAGGACTTTGTCTCAGAAAAAGAAGGCACACACACACACACACACACACACACACACACACACACGCATGCACGCGCATGCACATACAGACAGGGAGAGAATATGAATGAATGAATGAATGAATGAATGGAAGGAGACCTGAGTTACATCCCCAGCACCACCAGAAAGAGTATCGGTTTCTAGGTGAGAGTAGAGAGAACAGAGTCCTCTTTTTTTCCCCTAGAGAAGGGTGAGATGACTGGCTGTAAGGGTGCCCGTGTCTGGAGAGAGGCCTGGCACCTCTTCTGACTGGAACAACACTGTGCTGTGTATCTTAAGGGGGATTGTGGCTCTAGAGACCTGGCTTCTTTAAAGATTTGTTCTCTCCGAGTAGAGGTGTGGCTCAGTGACAAAGCACTGGGATGCTTTGGGTTTCATCCCCGCACTAATAAATGTATCATGGAGGAGATCTGAGAAAATGGCTCTCTCCCCCCTCTCTCCCCCTCTCTCCCCTCCCTCCCTCCCTCCCTCCCTCCCTCTCTCTCTCTCTCTCTCTCCCCCCTCCCTCTCTAACCCATACTTCTCTCCTCCTCTCTGCTCATGCAAAAGCATCTTTCCTTTGGCCCTGAGTACATGAGAGCCAAATTCTCCCTTGGGAGTATTGCAGCTAGAGAAAGATAGTTCTTTCTTTTGAGAGCTGGAGGAATCTTCTTTTTGAATTTGGGGGATGGGGTCCCTCTAGCTATGGGGAATCTGGATGTGATATGTCCATAGCTTCAGCAAAAGAGGATCTGTGGAGAATCCACACTGCTAGGGCACGTGCCAGGAGATTCTCAGACCCCAGGGCCTTTGCTCTTGGGATTCATCCCTCAACTCCCAGAATGTGGGGCTCTCTCCTGCCTGCATTTCTCATCTCTCATGAAAAAGACCCCTTTGTGGTGTAAGCGCCAGCTCTCTGGTGGTGCGTTGGCACAGAACTGGGCCTAGCTGGGCAGGAAGCAAGAGAGAGAGAGACAACGAGTGATAAAGAGAGGAAAGAGCATAAGGAGGCCCATTTCTGGGCCCCAAGGGGTTAATTCTTCCTGGCATTTCCTTTAACCCCCAAGTTACCAGCCCCTATACCAGGACTGGGAAACTGTGTGTATGTGGCAGGGTGGTGGGGGGAGGGATCCACAGGAAGGGAATCAAAGGAGCTCGGCAGCCCCACTCTGGTTCTGCCCTGCCATCTCCTCCTTCCTAGCCAATCCACAGCAGAGGGTGACCTCAGTGAGAAAGGATAAAAGGTGTTTTATGGTCATATGTGACATGACAGCTCTGACCCAGTGCCACCTGTATTCTATAGGGCTTTTCCAGAGGGCCATCATCCAAAGTGGCTCTGCTCTATCTAGCTGGGCTGTGAACTACCAACCAGTGAAGTACACCAGTTTGCTGGCAGACAAAGTGGGCTGTAATGTGCTGGACACGGTGGATATGGTGGATTGTCTTCGACAAAAGAGCGCCAAGGAGCTGGTAGAACAGGACATTCAGCCAGCCCGCTACCATGTGGCTTTTGGCCCTGTGATTGATGGTGATGTCATTCCTGATGACCCCGAGATCCTGATGGAACAGGGAGAGTTCCTCAACTATGATATCATGCTAGGTGTCAACCAGGGTGAGGGTCTCAAGTTTGTAGAAGGGGTGGTAGACCCTGAGGATGGTGTCTCGGGCACTGACTTTGACTACTCTGTCTCCAATTTTGTGGACAATCTGTATGGCTACCCTGAGGGTAAGGACACCTTGCGGGAGACCATCAAGTTTATGTATACAGACTGGGCAGATCGTGACAACCCTGAGACCCGCCGTAAAACCCTGGTGGCGCTCTTCACTGACCACCAGTGGGTGGAACCTTCAGTGGTGACGGCTGATCTGCATGCCCGATATGGCTCACCTACCTACTTTTACGCCTTCTACCATCACTGCCAGAGCCTCATGAAGCCCGCGTGGTCAGATGCAGCTCATGGGGATGAAGTGCCCTACGTCTTTGGTGTCCCTATGGTAGGTCCCACTGACCTTTTCCCCTGCAACTTCTCCAAGAATGACGTTATGCTCAGCGCTGTTGTTATGACCTATTGGACCAACTTTGCCAAGACTGGGTGAGTAGAAAATGGGGTGTCTTCTTTGGGACCCCAGCATGCTCCTCTGCCTAACCTCTTCTATTACCTCCCTTCCTGTGCAAGTCCCTAGATCTTGCTTGGTAACACCTTTATTCCCCATCTTGTCACGGTTCTGCACTATTTTCCCTCCTTCAACTTTTTGTTGAAGAAGGTAGTAGAGTTCTTGTTTAGCATGCCCCAGGCCCTGGTACCCAGCACCACCAAACAATAATTGTGTCTGTTGAGGCATCTGAACTGAACAGGAAGGCATTACTGGTAGAATCGTGGGAGTCAAGGTTAGCTGGCCAAAGGCAATATGAAAGGGGAAGAACGCGCACTTGGAAAGAGTCTTCCAAGGGCTCTTGATAAAACTGGGCAGCTGAAAGGACTGATAGATACTCAATGGCGTGTGAGAAGACAAAGCATTAGCACAGCCTGATGGCAGCGGATGAGCTCAGGGAAGAATGAGAGGTTTTCATGCTGCCTGCCATGGGAACTAGTTCAAGCCCTGGGGAAGAAAGGAGTGGGGGCGGCGACAGGACCCTGAAAAACATGGGAGCGGTGGGAAATTTTAGAGCGGTGGGTGTGAAAGAAAGGAGGCTGGGCCTTTTCCTTTCTCCAGGTAGCATGGTGACCCTAGGTTTCAATGTGGTATTTCAGGGATCCCAACAAGCCGGTACCCCAGGATACCAAGTTCATTCACACCAAGGCCAACCGCTTTGAGGAAGTGGCCTGGTCCAAATACAATCCCCGGGACCAGCTCTACCTTCACATCGGGCTGAAACCAAGGGTTCGTGATCATTACCGAGCCACCAAGGTAGCCTTTTGGAAACACCTGGTGCCCCACCTGTACAACCTGCATGACATGTTCCACTATACATCCACGACCACCAAAGTGCCGCCCCCGGACACCACCCACAGCTCCCACATCACTCGCAGGCCCAATGGCAAGACCTGGAGCACCAAGCGGCCAGCCATCTCACCCGCCTACAGCAATGAGAATGCCCCTGGGTCCTGGAATGGGGACCAGGATGCAGGGCCACTCCTGGTCGAGAACCCTCGAGACTACTCCACTGAACTAAGTGTCACCATTGCCGTGGGGGCCTCCCTCCTGTTTCTCAATGTGTTGGCCTTTGCTGCCCTTTATTACCGTAAGGACAAACGGCGCCAGGAGCCCCTGAGGCAGCCTAGTCCCCAGAGGGGAACTGGTGCCCCTGAATTGGGAACTGCTCCAGAGGAGGAGCTGGCAGCATTACAGTTGGGGCCCACTCACCACGAATGTGAGGCTGGCCCACCCCATGACACACTGCGCCTCACAGCATTGCCCGACTATACCCTGACCCTGCGGCGGTCCCCTGATGACATCCCACTCATGACCCCCAACACCATCACTATGATTCCCAACTCCCTGGTTGGGCTGCAGACCTTGCACCCCTATAACACCTTTGCCGCGGGGTTCAACAGTACTGGGCTGCCCCACTCACACTCCACTACCCGTGTATAGCTCTAGCGCGGAGCACAACCCACCTCCCAGCCCCCTCCCTCCCAGCCCCACAAACACACATGCACACACATACACATATATGTACACGCACGCACCCACACCCTACAGCAGACCCATCTGCACAAACACAGACAGATGTGGACATGCACCCGCATGTACAAAAACACAAATCCAGAAGTGAACCTGAACAGGCCCTTCAAATGGGGACACATATGAGTCCTTGGTACCAAGGGCCCATGGAATAGCAGCTGGAGCCAGATCCCTGAACCCGACCAGACACTCCTGGGGCCCTGGAAAGCCGCAGCCGGACACCCCCTTGGTGCTCGCCTTCTTGGAACTGCACCGTCTAACCAACTGCAGACTTGGGAGCTTTCAAGAGCAGGATAGCTCTTCCTCCCCCAGACTTGGTCTTTTCTCTGGGTCTTGTTTTTGTTGATTTTTAAAAAAATTGGAACCAATGTTTTTCCAGCCCGTTGAATGCTAAGCAACTCTGGAAGGGAGGGCTTGAAGATCAGGACTCTCTGGTTCTGGGACTCCCAGTGTTGCTTTATACGACCAGACCAAGGAAAAGGACCCTCCAAGACAGTAACAGATGGGAGCAAGACTATGGGGTGAAAGGAGGAAGAGGCTAGCAATGGATGGGGCTGGAGGGCCATCAAGGACAGAGCACCAACCTGGCTGTGGCCCTGTAGAGGACTGCAGCATCAGCCTGGCTAGACCAGGAGAGCCTAGGTTCGGTAAACTAAGTACTGTGGAGGCCCGGATCTTATTGGACCTCTGGGTATATAATCTGGGTTCTGCCTCTGCCCTTGGGGAAATGATATCAGAAATTTGCCCCCTTTTCTTTACAGTCTCTTTGTGTCTTTCATTTCTCTTTCAAAACAGCGGTGGTTTTTTTTTTTGGTTTTTGGTTTTTTTGGTTGTTGTTGGCTTTTTCTTTTCTTCTTCTTCTTCTTCTTTTTTTTAAAGAAAAGTTCTTAAAACACTAACGGAAACTCACGGAGTTTGTCCTTTGTAAAAATTTTAAACACAGTGTCTTGATATAAAAATAATAAATCCAGTTAGCACTCCCAACCTGCCTCCCGTGCACAGGCCTGCCCGAGCAACCCCTGGAAGCCAGGCGCCTGCTCAGGCTGGAAGCGCAATCCTCCAGAAGCCTGAGACCTCCTGCCTGGTAGCTCCTGCAAGTCCGGGCTGTGCTCTACTTGCCCTGGGCCCCCTGCCTAAAGCCTCTCTGATGCTAATCCATGCTGCTCTACCACCCTCCTGCCCGCAGCGCTCAGAGTTCCTGCAGCTGAAACCTGTCATCGCTTCGGGCCTCCTAATGAAACAGCAAAAATAATACTTCCTTCCTCCTCTGCCACCAGGCCACCACCACTGCTGCCACCACCTCCTCCGATGCCACCACTACCATGGTCATCACCCTGCCCCCAACTTGGACTGGGGGCTAGGGGGAGGCTTGACCTCTGACCTGCTGAAATTCTTTCTCCTTTGGAAATGCAGTACACGTGGCCTCTGCCTCCATTGACTTACAGAAGGGCCAATCTCCTTCCCTCAAGGGATGCAGGTTTCCTTTTCTGTGAACTGGAATAGCAGAAGTCATCGGAGATCAGTTTCTCTCGGGGACTGTCACTAGTGGCTCCCTGACAACTCTGGGGGATGGAGTCAGGAAGAGGTCCCATAGGGTTAGTTAGCATCATGGGGTTTTCTATTGTCCTCTGTGACTCGAAGGGCTGAACTTGAAATCTGTTCATCAAGTGTGACAGTTGGGCAAGGCTGCTGATACCTCAGAAGCCAGGAATAGAATTTGTTCAAAGTGACCCTGAGAAAATCGGGAGATGAGCCATCCCATGGCAGGCTGATGTGCAGAGGGAGCAAGGGCGGGTAGTGCACACAAAGACCCAAAGCCAGGACTAATAGGCTAATGTGGTGCCTGGCACTGGAGCGGGGCAATGGTTAACAGAAGGGCTGGGAGAGGAGTGCGTTTTGAGTGATTTCATGATTGGGAAATAGCTTCTTTTCTTTATTCTGTTTGAAACAAAGATACTAGCATATAGTAACAAAAACATCAGGGAGGACCTGGGAAGTGATCATAGAGTGACTCTTAAAAAATAAGTCACCCCAGAGGTGCATAGTCCAGCCCACTTACACCTGGGAGGAGGAATAGGAAAGGGAAGGTCAGGAGTTCGAGGTTATCCTCAGCTACATAGTGAACTTGAGGCATGCCTGGAATACCTGAGGCTCTGTCTTTTTTTTTTGTGTGTGTGTGTGTGTGTGTGTGTGTGTGTGTGTGTGTGTGCGCGCGCCATACATATGCAGGTGCCCTGGAGGCCAGAAGAGGGTATCCAATCTCTGGGAGCTGGAGTTACAGGTGTTTGCAAGCTGCCAGACATGGGTGCTAGAAACCTAACTCAGGTTCTCTAGAGGAGCAGGAGGTGCTAATCACTTAACCATTCTTCCATCCCCAAGACCCTGTCAAGAAAGAAAAACAAAAGTAAATGAAAAAGAGACCTAGAATTTGACCCAATAGTTTATGAGCCTGTCGTCAGTGCCGTGGTGAGTGGTTAGGCACCCAAAGCAGCAGCAGCTCTAGCTTTGGTGAGCACACTTCAAGTTGGTGGGGAAGCAGGAAAGCTCTGTAGAAAAGTGACATCTCTAGGCCAAATGCTCTGCTGATGGGTTGCTTTGTTTGGTTTGATTTTGATTTCTTTTCTTTTTTTTTCTTTTCTTTTTTGAGACAGGGTCTTACTATGTAGCCCTGGCTGGCCTGAAACTTGCTGTGTAGACCAGGCTGGCCTGGAACTCACAGACATCCACCTGTCTCTGTTTCTGGAGAGCTGGAATTAAAGGTGTGTACCACCACATCCAGCAAAATGTTCTCTTTTTAAAGATTTTATTTTTATTTTTTTAGATTTATTTATTTTATTTTATATGTATGAATGTTTTGCCTGTATATATGGATGTGCAACATCTGTGTGCCTGATGCCCATGGAGGTCAGAAGAAGGGATTGGATCCCCTGCCTGGAACTAGAGTTACGAATGATTGTGAGCTACCACGTGGGTGCTGAGAACTGAACCCAGGTCCTCTGCAAGAGTAACAAGTGCTCTTAACTATTGAGTCATGTCTCCAACCCCGGATTTTAGTTCTATGTATATGTGTGTGCACATCAGATCCCCTGGAGCAGTAGTTACAGGCAGCTATCAATCATAGGTCAAGTGTGCTAGGAACTGAACTCAAGCCCTCTGCAATCATAACACATGCCCTTCGCCACTGAGTCATCTCTCCAGCCCCCCAGGTTGTTTTTTATGTTTGTTTTGTCTTGTCTTGTTTTGTTTGAGACAAGGTCTCTCTATGTAGCCCTGGCTGTCCTGGAACTTACTCTGTAGACCAGGCTGGTCTTGAATTTACAGAGATCTGCCTGCCTCTGCCGCCGAGTGCCGGGATTAAAGGCAGTGTGCACCACCATGCCCGACCCTAGGTTGCTTTTTTTTACTATAGAAAGAAGAAAACTGATGAAGAACATCCAATGGTTTGCCAAATACCTACTATGTAACAAGTGTGTTCTGAGCATCTTTAAAATGTGACTCCTGAATAAAGAGCGAGCTGTGTTCTTTTATGGCCTGTGTGCTGCACTCCTTCTGAGGATGAGAGTAGAAACAAGACTAAGAGAAGACCAACGAGTGGCGAAGGTGTGTTGAGGAGGGGCTCTGGGTACCCTAAAAACCCTCAGCGGTAGCTGCCGAATAGAAGGACCATGCGGTATCTTTCACCCTCTGAGAGCCTGGCTAATGCCACCTTTTGGGGCCATTTTGTCTGTATTTTCAGGTTTAACCTTTAGATGCCCCATTTCCGGTATTCCCTTAAGTCCTCTCATAATACAGAGGCTCAAAATTAGGGTGATTTAGACAGCATTTCTTCTCACACCCTCAAGATATCATAACAAAGTCAAGGACCCCCCACCCCCAGTGAGAAGCTTCAGTTGCTCCCCACACCATTCAAAGGCTTGAAGAGATAAGGCAATTTCCAAGCCAGATGGGAATTTAAGATGACTGACAGCCATCCTAGACCCATGGTGTTTTCATGGTCTGGGCCTCATTGCTGAACAGCAGCCCTGAGCTCACATCTCACAGATCATTGGTATTTAAGTATAGGGCACTGGACACAACTATCTTAGGATCTATATTTGCAGTGTGTATGAATACTCAGAGGTTTAAAATGTCCATGCAAGAATGGTAGCCATGACTCGAGGGGCTGTCGCTGTGCTATCTTATATAACTATCAGGGCTGAAGACACTCATCTGGGCACATATTATCCGGAACCAGGGTGAAAGGAAAACAGTGTAGCCCCCGGAAGCCTCTGGCTGCTCAGAAGTGCTCCACGTTACGTCATAGTTTGCTCGGCAACAGCCCACACAGCATATCTGCAGAGCACCTGACGGTGGTTTTGAAAACCCCACAGAAAATGCAATGGATATGTTCTTCAGCCTCAGGGTGACCTGTTATGAGGAAAGGTGAATCCCACGGTTACAGATCAACAAATGTGGAACCCATGGAAGGCAAATGAATGCAAGGCCCCTTGGGTATCACTCACAAAACAAAATAAAGATTGCTCAGCCCTACAGAGTCCAGAAACAGAAATCATTTCCCCACTCAGCTCACCCCTTTCGCTGGGGAGACCAGAAAAATCCATGAAGAAAAGGTCATGGCCACATTTCCTGAGATTAGACAAAGCATTCTTGGGGCAAGACAGAAAATCTCTGAGTGGGTAAAGGTAGCTGTGTGGGGGTGGGAACACGACTCTTAACTGCTCAAGCGATCATATGCAAAAAGATTCTGTTTTGGTCACTAGGTCAGTTTTACCAACTAACTTTACTAGAGGTAAATTCCCTTTCCTGAAGTCCGAAATGTAGCAGCGTAAGTGAAGGATGTGTGAAGTGTCACTGAGAGTATAGCCCTCAAAATGAGAGAGGAGCAGCTTGTGTCCTCTTCTGTCCCCCTCAGATCATACCTAGTAACCGCTCTTCAGTTCCAGGCACCAGACTTCAACAAAGATGACCACAGATGCTTAGAGCAGAGTGGTGGTGACAGCAAGAGGACAAGAGTGTGCCTGGAAATGGGTGTCTAATGTGGGCAAAGTATTATGGGATCGTGGGGGAGAAATGTAGGCCTGGTATATTGGTTTGGTTTGGTTTGGTTTGAGACAGGATCTTCATAGGTAGCCTGGAATTCTCTCTATAGACCAGTTTGGCTTCAAACTCACAGAGATCCACCTGCACCTCCTTC